TTTTTCATACAAATCTTGCACTTGCGTTTGCATCCGGGCGTTTGTATTTTCGACGTGTGAACTACACTTGCACTTGCGTTGTTCGCCGGYTTGGTACCATCATACGTCGTACATGGCGAGACGATAGCAAGACGTTTTAACCCATTCTCGTAAGATCCTGCCAACGAAAAATCGAAGCTCTGGTTGGRGACTATACCGGCAGACCCAGAATCTGCATCGTATATGATGCATGGAATTTTTGAGCCAATCAAATCAAAGAATAATTCCTTTCTAGGTAACCATAGTCTTCGATTTTACGTTAAGAAACTGAAGAACAGTTCTTATACTAGTAATTGCAGAKCCACGCCCTTTTGTGGATTGCCATAACGTCAGTAACGTTGTCCAAAATTAATGTTGGTGTTCAGTTTTACAAGGAAACACTAATCTGCTGAAAAACGCTTGGAAATCACGGCATTACTGMCAAACTTTATTTGATGCAAGCTACCAAAACGATTTTTTTGTGAATATTGCAATCCATACCCACAATGACTTTCAGTCGTTCATTCTTCTCTCCGACGGGCAACTCTTTTTAAAAATCTAAAATAAATATCAGTGTTCAACGGCGATTATTATCCCCGATTCTTTATTAACCCGTTAAACAAAGTCTAGTGCGAGGGGAGGATTCAGAAATGTAAGGACTTGATATAAATTGTAAGAAACTTAGACAAGGGATCAATCTATAAAATGTGGAACATCAGTCATCATCACTATTGTTCTGTTTTATTTCATGAAATTCCAATGAAAGAGTCCTGGGTATGAACATGCTTTCTAGATATAAATATCAAATATAAACACTTTTAAATAATTTGCGATCATCGTCGGCACAAAAAGCTACAACAAACTTTCACTTTAATAAATTCTTTTTAGTTTACGAGTTGAGCAGCCGTCGCATCTTCATTTCGTTCTGTGGTGCTTCACAAAGATTAAAATCTCCAACCTGGCTTGTCCTCATTAGTGAAAACAACATTCCTCCGCTTTTTGTTCATTTTACCTTTGCATGTGATAACATAATAATAATCAAAATACTAAACGTCATGGATGGAGCCTCTTTCCGATTGATACTTTACTAAAATGGAACTCTGCAGGTCATAAAAACTATGTACAACTTTAAACGACATCATTGCAAACCAACAATCCAAATAGAACTCAATCTCTTCCCCAGGGCCCTGTTCTTCCATATTTTCAAAGTGGTGGACAAGAAGAGCTGGGCCTTGGGGACAATTAGTGTTGAGTAGCACTTATTCTGGTRCTGAGGTATGTCTGGCACTGTTTATCTGGAAAAGAATTGAGAGATGAAATTTAGAATGAAATGGAAACACATAGGAGATGCATGCGTCTGTAACCAGTTTAGAATAGTGACATGCATTATAARACTCATTAATATTCATAAGGCAAAACACAATAGAAATCATAGCCCATGAAGAGAGTTGTATATTACATACAGATCGCCCGCTCATATTGYATATATTACTTATCATACTTTCATAGGCCTTTTCTAAGATGGCAGTTTGCATTGCATTGTGGTGTAGGTTCAGTATAAACACCCTTTAGTTCATGCTGCCAAATATGGCATTGTTTTTATTTCAGAAAAGGTCTTTAGTATCATGATTTTCCTGATTTTTCTTTACTTAGTGTTGTAATTCACTGTGGAATGATGTTTCAAGTTTTTACAATGCATTGTAAAAAGTAGACATGTAATGTTATGCACAACAATTTTTTTTAACAACATCCATTAAACTGTGATTTTCCAAAATCTTGTTTTGCAAAACACAGTTAAAATTTCAAATTGTAACAACTCAAGTCTCTTGCTATGATTTATTTTATGAATAGTCTCCTTCACGGTTACCTGCGCCATCTTGAAAGGTAGCCGTGCCTTTGCATTGAAGCAATTGAAGCAAAATGACCGTTGACCGTGCAATGATAGAAACCTTCTTTCACACCTACAGACAATTCTTCGCAGGTTTCTATCATTGCACGCTCAACGGTTTTCTCGCTTCGATGCAAAGAAACGGCTACCTTTCAAGATGGCGCAGGTAACCGTGAAGGAGACTATTAAATARTACATTWATARTATTTTACCTCAACTGTGTGGCCATCKTTAAGCCAACATTGTTCAGGTGAGTACAGTAGGACAGTAAAGTTATATCACCTTTCTTCTTTTCACAACTGGAACTAAGAATGATATCACTAAATGACTAACTGGTTTATTACAATGAAAAATGGAGATGTGGTTAAAAACAAAGTGGCGTGTTTTACAGTGAATAAAAAGACATAAAAGTATCTGGTGCACATACAAAGTAATAAACAAAAACAAAGAAGTCCACAAACACAAACTTACAACAGTCATGATCTTACATGTAAAATTTGTTGGATGCACACAAGCTATGGCCAAATACACTTCATCATAAATAAAATCTTTTAGTTAGGAGAATTAATCATTTTTCATTTATAAAGCAATCTCAACACTGCTTTCCTKTCTTTCATTGTCTTGCAATGATTTAATCTCTTATTAGTGACTGTATTTATAAGGTTGAAGTTACATGTTACTTGGGTTGGGATTAGAAAATTATGTTTATGAAGTGAATACATACCACAAAAGCTTACACACATTTAGACACCACACTTAGGGCAACTAGTGTTACAGACGTTATTCCTAGTGCACTGTGCATCAAATGAGAGCATATAAACTTATTCAAAGCCACAAACTTAGCTGCGTTATCCSGTTTTTAAAGTTTAAGCAGTAATGACTGAGTTGGTTACCTGATWTGTCCACTGTCTGGCATCTTCATTACTTTACCCCATGATTTAATAGGATTATAAAGGCTTCATTTCCGGGTTTAGATTGGTAGTTGTAGGTTCTTAGTTTCACCATTAAACTGCATTATCACTTACATACAATATTTCCACTAAGTCATGATTACACAAAGTAAAGCAACAGTTAAACTATTTAAAAATAGTCGCAAAAAATGCTTTTTATTAAACAAACAACTAACAAATAGGTTATACATGTAGTTAAATGGAAAACATTTCCATGTTTGTGATTATAACAATGTYCATCAAAAATACTTACAAAATATTTAATCTGTAAGTTTGTCAAAAATATGAAATTCTTTGGTACAAAAATAGCAACTAAAAMATTTCTTGAGTTATTTACAAAAAAACGCTATTTGGGTATTTTTGGGTTACTTTTGTACTGTTGTAGTGCTGCCTTGTATGGCATCTCCTTATATTTTCATGTTGTTTTTGGCTGTGTAGAGTTTATTTCTTTATTGATTTATTAGGAATCAACCAATAACCATTGAAATTTAACCAATTTTAAACATAAATCACACATTTTTGTGTTAAGTTTTAAGTTTTGTTAAGTTTTGTCTCCAACAATCTAAGAAAAGTTCCCTCCTCAGAAATTCTGTASAACTACATAAGTAACAATAGACATTATTGGCTTAGGCAACGTTTGTCTCATTTCAAACCCCTTGTGTGTGGAATYCTTTGTTTTACTGCCATCCGTGTTAATGGTAAATGAAAGAATTACRTTCCCAAGAGATCTGAATTGGGGCAAACATTGCCCAAACTAGCWGAGGAGGTCTATTTRTTTGGTAAACACGTCCTCCRTATGAATCCTACACAAAAGAGCAGAGGAGGGATTTTTCTTTAGAACATTTGGGAGAATGATTTTAAAAACACTTCTCAGCTTGAARGGATGTTTAGTTAAAACTGATATACACAGTTAGGAAAGTAAAGATGATTTAAATGAGAACAAGTATGTTTAATGTTTTTTATTACATATGACAAGGCCAACAATTTATACTGCTCACGCTCCTACAAAACTCATTCAATTTTAGTTACAATATTGTTTTAGGAATAGACAGCAATAAAGGATGTTTAGCAAAGACAAAATATTTAAAATGTTTTAAATAGTTCACATTTTAAAGGATAATGAGGGTTTGTTAATGTTTTTAAATGATACCTAAAGTTTGATTTTATAGATATTTTATAATTCAACAAGTCATCATCTGAAAGAACAGTTGGAAGGAAACAAATGAAAGATATATGCAATGAAATATGAATGAGATCAGTTATATCATTATGCATTTAGTTTAGACCTTAGAATATCAGTTTAATGCTTAAATCGAGGTTTAAAAAGAGGGTATTTTTTGAGTTGAGGAGAATTTATTCAGATCTTTTAGCAACTTTAAAGCAATTTTAGGATGCTTTAACCCAGACACTGCTAAATTTAAGGAGAACAGTTATTAAGAAGTAAAAAGTAAACCCTTTAGTATATCAACTTGTTACAAAATGAGTACAAATTGGATACAAAAACATAGAAAAAAATAAACTAAATCACTTTGGTTGCTCTAGCAACATAAGGGTAGTAAACATCAAAATGTGAGACTCAATCCCTTTAAGAAGCAACACTATTATCCTCTAGAAGTCAATCAATAGAGAACATTTCAATAAGGGTATGTAGCTTCACGAATTATTTTCTTTGTAGGACGATGCGATGGAGTCTTGTAGTTGGCTGCCATGCTGGTGGGAAGACGACCAGGTGCTAGAATAGGAAGTTTATACATGTTTATATTTTACTACGGTTTTTTTTWAAAGTGGTATTAAATGTCGTTTAATACTTATAAGTAATGCTGTAAGTGGGCTTTATTGCTAACTACTGAAGCAAGCCATGTTTTTACAGTTACTTTACTACCATTGTATCATTAGTTTTGCATAKGATTTTTATTCTTTGCATAAATTAATGTCGACAAATTAAATAATTTGCATGGTACATGTAAATTCCAGTAAGCTTTCTTTTGTAGTTTTCCATATCGTCCATTATTGCTGAGTATGGGGTGTACTTGCTTCATRTAATGAGCACTTAAGAAAGGAAAAGCCTTCTGGATCATGTGCAATTAAATAATCACAGTAAATTAAAGAAAATTGTTTTCCACTTTTGCACAAGTGTACGCTGTAGCATACTTAAAAACACAAAACAAATTCACTTCAAAATTGCAAGTAATGCATCTTGCAATAACTTCAAGAACAATAATGTTACTTTAAATAATATTCCTCTATTTAAGAAATATAAAACGGCGCGCGTGTCTCTGTCCTCTGATATAAGCACGGTGGGAGTTCGAAAAACACGAGAGAAGGAAGCTTAGGAACACGAGCGTAGCGAGTGTTTCTCTTGTTTCTCAAGTGTTTTTCAACTCCCACCGTGTTTATATCAGAGGACAGAGACACAAGCGACCATTTTATATTTCTTTTATAAAATTTTTGGAGTGGAAAGCAAATTTTGCCGGTAAGCCGTGTCTCTTTCCTCTGATATAAACACAGTCGTCAGCCAATCAGAGCGCGCATTATATATCAAAAATTTTATAATTTCAATTAGAGATGATAGTTTCAAGGAAAAAATAACTGCCCAGTAAGTATACTACACAATATGACTTCAGCAATATAAACATCATGTACATTAATATCCACTTTGGATGTGAACTGTTAAAACATTCACAATAAATGCACTGTGTTAAATCTYGATGCTTTGAATATGAATTAGGGTTTATCAGTTACAGTTTAATCCCAGGCWAAATTACAGAACCCATTTTATCAATTCTTACGACTGCATTGATAATGAAAGATTATAAATCATATATAAATATACCATCCAGAGCATAGACAGTAGGTTATACTAATTTAGGTTCATAGGAAAGTAATCAACAATATTCAGTTTAAATTCATGGTAATTGATGCACTTTGGACTAATTATTTCAGTTCACGTTCATATTTTCTATGTTTTCAGTAAAATAATAATATTAAACATACGTAATATGTATTRGAAGTTGCAAACATAAAAGACACTTACCAGGATAAGCTGTTTCAAATATTTCTGGTGTAACACCTCTTCCATATTCGTAAAATGCACCCTCACTAAACAAATCACATCACTGTATTGAGTATTAGGGGATAGAGTGCTACCTAGCCACTGTAACTAGCATTAGAGAAGTTTAGCATGACATTCACAGCAAACGCCAAACAGCAGAAAAGATCACATGACCTGCTTTTTTTGAGTTTAATGTTGCAGTTTCAACGCGAGAGAGGGTTATTTTGAGGTTGCCATAATCGTGAAAAGCTGCTCTTTCAAATGACTACCAAAAGCACAAGGTTGGGCACGAAATTCTTAGGTCATTGGTTCAGCTCTGCCGTTAGCCGTTTGCCGTCAACGTGATGCTAAAACTCTCTAATTTTAAGTTTTGTATTTGATATCAATACATGTTCTACAAGACAGTGGAAATTTCCATGTTCGTGCAAAAAAAACAACAAGAATAGCTTTTAACTTAATCATTAAAACCTATAAACAAAGAAATGAAATGAGAATTCTCAGGGTTAAGTAAGGCAATAAGATCATATTACTGAAACTTGGTGGTAGATGCATTCAAAATAGATTACTTACTCAGGCTCTGCATAGGCTGCCTCATATGCATAGGCTGGATCGTAAGTATCCTGAGGAATGGATTAAATAATACATCAAAATAATCATTCACAGAATATGGATGCATCATTTTTTATCATTTCCACAGCCTCTCCTGCTAATTAATGCATATMTCTCTCTGCAAATGATGATAACGGTTCTATATCTGTCATTTTGTTGCTTTTAATAAACTTAGAACAGAATATTATGCAGAATGCTACTGAATAATA